ATATATAAGAGGTATGACCCAATTTATTTAAGTTTTACTCTACTTAGCTATTTATTGATAAAAAATAAACCCTTATAAATTTTTTTAAGTTCTTATACTTTTTTTTATATGAAATATTAACATTTTCAAACTATCCAATGCTAAAAAAAAACCATTAGGTTTTCCTGTAAAAGATTTAGCAACATTATTGCTGATTTCATCTTATTTCTTTGTTATGATATAGATTTCAGACCTAAGGAGCAGCCTGCAAAAGAACTGGCCTACCCTGGCCTGCCCTAGTGGGGATGGGACAAGCTTTTGGTCTCATGAATGGGAGAAGCACGGTACATGTTCGGAGCTAAACCAACATGATTACTTTGACACAACCCTCAACCTGAAGCAGCAGACTAGCCTCCTCAAGGCTCTTAAAAGTGTTGGAATTAACCCCAATGGAGGGTTTTATAGCTTGTCCAGCATCAAAGACGGAATAAAAACAGCAGTAGGATATACTCCTTGGATTGAGTGCAACACCGATCCATTGGGGAATAGCCAGCTGTACCAGGTGTATCTATGTGTTGACACTTCTGGGTCCAACCTCATTGAGTGCCCTGTGTTTCCAAGGGGAAGAAAATGTGGTTCAGAGATTGAGTTCCCTTCTTTCTAGATTAAAATTTGTTTAAATCTAGTTAAATATTGAGGCTAAAAAATAAAACTCAGTTCTTATTATTTATTAGTCATTGCCCTTTAGATTGTCATAAATGTATTATACTAACGGCTCGTTTTGCTTCAATTGTTATAATAAAACTGATATAAGATGATTGTTGCCTAATAATTAGTAGTTGTTTTTTGAAATTATTGTTTGGTTATGTAAATATTAACTGTTACTATTAATACATTAAATTATCAATAAAAATATACTTATATCTTCTTATTTATTAATACCTAAATAGGAGGACCCTACGTTAATATTATAAACACATAAGCCACAAAATTAGAAAACACTAAAAAGTACAAATAAATCTTACAATGATTTTTTTTTTTTGAGGAATTAAAAGGTATAAAATAAGTATGCATTGCTTTACATTCTAAAACAAAAATAGTTCAAAACAATTCAAACTATAAAATACATTTTGTAAAATAAGCTACACAATGAAGGTATTTTTTTTACTAAAAGAAATTATTTGCACACGAAATTAGTTGTTAGGAGTCTTTG